TAAAAAGAATTGTTAGATCACTGATACAAAATTGACTTTTATGTTCCAATCAAACTTTTCTATTGCTTTTATTGATCAAATAGTTGCAATTGGCAAAATTTAATTATCCAGCAGAATTGCTTTTTTCAAATTATACAAAATGACAATTCACATCTATAAAAGATTGCTTAAGTTCTTAAGCAATAAATGTTACTTTCCTTTACTGCATAGATGTACAAATCCAGGCATGTTTTTACGGAGAAGAGAAAATATGTGAAGATATGTATCAGAATTAAAATGATAATCATAAACTCCATTTTAGCAAACTTCAAATCACACTGCAAAAACAGAAAAAATAAATTTTCACTTCCAAATTTGAGGAAAATAACTGACTCCAAATGATAAATAAATAACTTTTTAAATGAACCTCCATTTTGGAATTCTGATGATTTCATTATCTCATAATAGAACTTTTTTAAAAATTACAAGAGAAAAATTAAGTATAATAATGTTTTAAGATGTGTTTGTTTAGGTGTAAATACCACTTGAATGGAAATATAATTTCCTGTGGAAAATAGTCCTAAAAGATTTCATATTTGTAAATTTTTTTTTTATTTATTTAGGTTTTCTTATAGCCAAATAACAAAGCCCAAAATTCTTCCACCATACATTTACATAAGCTTATCAGATAAATGTCTCGCTGCCTTCCATTATCTCTCTTGCCTTCAATATGCCACATGATGATTAAGTTTTCCCAAGCCCTCTTTCCTCATTATGTGTCCAAGGAATTTTAGCTATTTCTTCCTGATTCTGATTAATAGTGTTCTTTCTGTTGCCATTTTCTTTAAGACTTAAAGACTGTTGCTTACACACTTAGTTCATGGAATTTTTAGTATCTTTTGTAGAACCACATTTCTGTTGCCTCTAGTTTTCTTCCCATCTATGAGGAGATTGTCCAACATTCACTGTCATATAAAAGGATGAATATCACATAGCAACCCGGCACACTTTTCTTTATTTCTAACAAAATTTTTCCCTTTCTCAGAACCTAACTTAGCTTTTCAATGCTCTTTTTTGCTAGTCAAATGCATGTACGGATCTTAGTGTCATATTTGCCATCCTCTGTTAAAAGACTTCGCAGATACTTAAATTTCTGCTTGATGTTTATATCTCCAATTTGTAACTCATATCTTGGGCTTGTTTTCTTGCTGATGGCAATACTTTCTGTCTTCTTGCAATTGTTGGTTTTTGTTTTTTTTTTCTCTCTCTTTCTTCTACCACTCTGTCGAAGAAGTCCTGTAGTTTACTTTCCGAGTTAGTCATCAACACAGTATCACCTGCATATCTTATATAATTAAGATTACACCCACCAATAATAAATCCTAGTAGAATGACTAGTTCCCTTAGGATATCAGGTAGATAGGCTGTAGAGGTGCAAAGATTACAATTCAAATCTAATAAATCTTAGTAGCTTTATAGTACATTTTAGATTGACTTTTTGAATTAATAATGATAAAAGAGAAGCAGTTAGAAAGAGTTGAAATTTCTAGGGAACATTCATGGGACATATTGATGATGAGAGGGATAGAATAAAGGAGAAAATAACCTACCTAACAAGATGGTATAAATGGTTGGCAAAACAGGAATTAAGACAGATAGCAAAAAAGCAAACATTACTAAGCTCTACAAAGAACAGGAAGTTGTGGAGAGCCATGTTTCTTATGTAGCATATCCTGATCGGACATGGCACATAAGAAAAATAAGCTTTATTGTATCCAAAATTTAAAATAAATGACTTAATTTTATTAGTGATTATTATACAATGCTTGAAAAAATGGAACAAATATATTTGAAATAAGTGATGCAATCATAAATAATGTTTTCTTCTGTGTAAAAACTGCAGCTGCAATGGATTACCTCAATAGTGAAACAATGCACATCTTCACATAAAAAAATGATAAGCAAGCAAACCTATAAAGAATTTAAAACAATCACTATGATATCAACTGTCTAATAAATGAACGCTTACAGCTCAGAAGCAGAAACACATTTATAATTCCCCTTCTTGTGTAATCATCAATGCCCACCTGTTAATCATATGGCTTAACTTCATCCAGGTTTATATTTGGCAACATTACTGGCTTGCCTAGCAACAAGTTTATCAATACCATTACTTACCAAGCATTGCCTGATATTGACTGATTACATAATAAGCAATTCTGATCTAATACATTTTTATTTACTATTTCTTTCAATATTATGATTTTTTCCAAGATAAAAGAAATGGAAGTTAATTAATATTTGTTAAAAAATTATTTATACTAGTTTTAATCCTTGAAAATTTCATAGTTTTCCTATATTTCTGATGAAACTTAATTTTTCAATTATTGATTAAATAAGCTCACAGTGAGTTCTATGACAGTAAATATCCATAGAAATTCTTCTATCGCAGTTAAATATTTGAGCTTAACAACTTAAATATTGCAATAACAGTCATAAAGATGAATGCTGATTGTTATTTTAAGAAGTAAAAAGGTACAAATGAAAAGATCTGAAATTGACAACTTTTCCATTTCACTGAAGCAGACGTTAAACACGGCTATCTTCCCT